TCCCCAAGCGCCTGGCTGCTGCTCCTTGCTCCCCATCCCCCGGCCCCGTGCTCCCTTTTACATTCTATGTGTATCTAAAGGATGGAAAAATAAAACCCAATTAAAAATAAACAGATGCCTTATTTTCTGTGTCTTCCTAAAGCTGGGAAGGGGTTCAGCATTAGCGATGAGTAAGCTTCCCAGAGCCCCTTGGCTCTGACTTCTGATGCAGGTTCGTTTCTGCGCTGAGTTTGTTCTTTTTCTTGGTGGTGCCTCCTGCTCTGGGGGGCTGCCAACTAGTGAACCCCGATATTGCACTCATGCATTCCCTTTACACGCTTTTACACATATTGACTTATATGATGCACTGTCACATGTGTTACAGGCTGACATCAGATACACACTGTCACAGTCACAAACACTCCTATCCATATGTTAACAAACATACAGGCATTCACATAACACCAAATCCACACCCAGAACATATGCATTCATGTTCCCACACGCCCACCAGTAAACACACATTCACAATCGCAGACACATTGATACCAACGTACATTCACACATTGGCTTATAAACACAGATTCATATTTGCCCCCAAGTAAACGCATTCAGGAGCCCACATGCTTAGTCACACACGCTCACAAAACAACAAAACAAAAACCTCACCATTTCACAAACCCGCTTCCTCATTCAGGCCTGGAAACCGAGCTGCGGGATCTGGATCTGGGCTGCAGCCCAGGCACAAAGACGGAGCTGAAATCCAAGCTGCTAGGCCCCATATGAAGGAATAGTGGAAGGAAAGGGAAAATGAACACCCAAATCCACTCTGGCTTCTTGGGTGGCGTTGGGTAGAGGCCAGGCCCTGGAGTAGAGGCCTCTCAGTCGGCGCAGAGCAGCCTCCAGCTAGGGCGCTCACAGCTTCTTGCTTGCACGGCAAACATTTTCGGCAAGAGCTATTCTTTTATTTTATTTCGATTTATTTTACTTTCCTTTGTCTTAATTTATCTCGTTCTAAATTGACACAGACGACCGAAATAAAACTTTAAAATGGGGGGTGGGGAAGGGAATGAGTCCGGGAGCAAGACCCTGAGCAGTGCGAGTTTACCAGGCTGGTGTGGCCGCCTCCCGGCCGCTCTCTGAGCCTGGCCGCGCCACGCCCGGGGCTTCCTCCGCGCCTCTCCGCCCGCTCTCTGAGCCGCCGCTAGCAGCCTGGAACCATCTCCGCAGCACATAGAGAGAGGGGGAAAAATATGTGGGGAGAGGTTATTTCGTTTCCTCAATTTGGGCATTGGTAGGTCAACTTGAAAGACGGGGTTATTTCAGGGGACCTGAGAAACCCGGGCTGAATTTTTATTTTGTTTTTTGCTTCCAAACACCCGCTGATTGCAGGACCAAAACTTAGAAGATGGTGTCTATGCAGCTAGACCCGCTGAAATGATTTTTAGCATTTACTCGATTATAAACCCTGGATTGTTTAAATTTAAACAGACTTTGGACAGAAAAAGGGAGGGGAGTTGGTTTTAGGATAATCTGCTGAATTTGAATTTGTATGTAAAATGCTTCTAAACCTGCGGTTTCCCCCATTAATGACCAAGTAACGCCCTGGAGAGCGCATGGGCTGTCAAAGGGAACCTGGACTTGGCTGCATTTGGGCGGGAGAAGCCAGGATCCGGGTTTACCCTCCCCCAGTTTCTGGGTTGCGGAGGCGAGAATCTGACTATCTGCCTTGGCCCCCATCCAGGCCACTTCTCCTTCTGGTGCAAACACTAAGCCCTAGGGGATTTAAGGCCCCCATGCCTGCAATGCCGCCAACCTCACAGGTGGGGGTCCTGCCATCTACAGGGCTAGCAATGAGGGGGCCAGTTTAGAGGGGGAAAGGGGACACTGAAGCTTTCATTTTGCCCTTATGAAGGTGTCTACTCTAGGAACTGGCTCCTGCTCCTGCCTCACCCCAAAATTGTCTCAGAACAGTCCCTATGCAGAGGATTTGGGGTAGACTTTTACTCAAAGAGGGAGCAGAGCTTCTGTGGAAAATAGGGAGGTTCGGAAAAGAACCCCCTTCCCTGCTGTACGGTTATGGCTTCTCCACTCTGATTCCCTGCCCCCCCAAATCTCACCCCTTCTCAGATTGGGGTTTCCCCAAAAAGAGAGAAGGAGAAGAAAAGAAGATGGCGACTGAGAAAAGGGTTGCTGGTGGAGCAGCCATGAAGAAATGCAATAAATTCCTTGTTGTTTTATGAAAATTTACAACTTTGTGATAGAAGTTTATGAGTGGTTGAATCCAGCGATTGGCCGGCGCCGGTCATGTGGCCGGGCGATCGTGAACATGAACTTTTTATCATTTCCCTGGTGGTTATAATGCAGCATTCTTTTGGACACCACACCTAGGTCGGAGCACTGTCGTCCTTCAGGGCTCCAGCCTCTTGATATTTTTATACTTCAGTATCAGCTCGATAGAGCAAAAGAGAGAGAGGACGACAGAGGGGGGTGAGGAGAAAAGAGAGAGAGAGCGCGCAAGAGGGAGAGGGAGAGAAGGAGCGGTGGGAATTACACAAAGAGAGAACCAAAAATAATTTTGATTCCTAAGTTAATTTTCTCACTGATCTGGGATTTTAGTCACCATGGAAGGTAAATGGACAATCTGCCCAGGACCGCAGCCCGATACTATTTTTCAAAGCCAGAACTTACTCCATTTTCTATGCAAATGTCAGAAAAATGAAACACCCTCTCTCCCAAGTCTGAGAAGGGGAAGCAACGGCTCTCACGTTGGGACAATATTATCTGGAAGCTGAAGAAGAAACTGAATACTCCTTCTTTCCTCCCTATCCATTCCTTTCAATCCGGAGGGGAAAAAAAATCCCAAGGTCTGCAAAGGTAAGGGAGATTCTACAATTTTCCTGTTCTTTTGCATCGCTTTTGTGTGTGGGGGGGTGGGGCTTGGGTTTTTCTCCCTCCTCCCCCGCTCCAAGACGGGGCTGAACCCCATCTCTGGGCGCTGCAGGGAAAAGCTTCCCAGGAAATTCGGTGGTGGAGAGAGGGGTGGCTGCTTCCTGGAGGGGGAGCCAAGGCAGGGAAAGCGGGAAGAGGAATCAAAAGAGGGCCAGGAGACCAGCTCTAAGTCGCCTTCTTAAGCTTGGAGGAGAGACTCAAGCAAGGGGGCAGCGAAAGAGAGGATGGGGGGGTATCTGGACTTCAGTGGCACCTAAAGAAGCCAGTCGTTATGGCCCCCGTGGGCTTGCCCCCTCCCCCTCCTGCCATCCCTCCCTTGTCCCGGCCTCTGGCTATTGCCCCCGCGCAGTTATCTTGCCTGGTGCGGATATCGCTGGGTTCCCAGACGCATTGGCATGTGGGGCGGTGGCGTTAAGGGACGTCCTGGTCTCTATAGGGCCTGGAATCTCTGCCGAGGCCGGCGAGGGAGAGGAAACGGCTAGAGAAACACAGAAAAGACAATTCACAGAGAAATGTTCACTATCTCCCTTCGGAGACATTTTTGAAATTAAAGGGCTGTGGGTGGAGACACCAAAAACGAGAGAGACCCCACACACACACCCACCAGGAAGCCTGCCCGAGAATGCCCAAGTATCTCGCCACTCCCGCAGGAGGGAGCCTCGCTCTGCAGGGAGACAGTTTTGTGGTTTTAATGCGGTAGGTTACAGCTGTTGGTTTCTGCACGATATTGATTCTATTACTTGCGTTGTATTGGTATGGGATGTGTGAATTTCGGTGGAGGAAAAAATTGCCATGTATATGTCTGATATGATAACATTTCAAACTTTCCTGGGTCCAGACGTGGTGACTGTGAAGAAGCCGTTAAGTGCATTTTTGTTTTAGGCTTGTAAATAAAAATAAAAAAGAAAGAAATGAAAGAAGAAAATAAAAAGAAAATCCAATTATGGGACCTAGCCGCGTCTAAACTGAAAAGCTAACTGGCACTGAGCTCAGACGGTCCCGTCCCTCGGGTGTCCGATTTTATCCCTCAGTCAGGCCTTCTAGAGGGTGGGGAGGGCAGAGAACCATTGGGCAGGAGACAGAGATTCCTAAAGTGGCTGGTGGGGTGGAAGTAGGTGCCAGCCTTGAGGCAAGTACTTTAAAATGAGGTAAGGGAGTTTCTGGGGAAGCTTCCAGCCAAGAGATGAGTGATGCTGGCTGTGCAGGCCAGGAGAGATTGGGATTTTTAGTTAGGTGTGCACAAACATGTAATTGCTTTTCTCTTTCTTAAGACCAGATGCAGGGCTTTCAGCCTCAGGCCTCTGGTTGCCCCGGAGTTATAGGGTCTGGGGCGTTTTGGAAGTGGGGATATATTTATTATCCCAGTCCTAAGCTAGGAGAGGAAAGACGCGGCCACTTGTGGCACGAAAGAGGCAGCTCTGTGGCCCCAGGTAGATGCCCTAGGTTCAGGCCCGGCCTGAGAGCCCGGAGGGACCGCTGGGCTTCGTAGCGAGAGTTCTCCGCCAGCACCCACGGCACTCGGGGCCTATTCTCAAGGGAAAAATTTCCCAAACCCACCCATACTAAAGGTCTTTTTCTCCTGTAGTCGTGGAGGGTTATAAATCCTCCCTTAGACAGTGCGCTGTGACCCAAATTATGCGGTTTGCTGCCATCTACCGTCCGTTCGGAGACAAGCGGCTTAGGCGCCGCAAGCCCCGCGACACTGTCCAGCGGTGCCCCCGACGCCTGGAGACCCGGTCGCGCAGGGTCCACGGGATTCGGGGGATTTCGGGCCCACGCCGACGCTCTCAGCTGGATCTTGGTTCCCCGGTGTGGGTTAGAGAAGTCTCTCCACCCATCATCCCCAAATTCCCACTCCCCCAGTCTCCGCCCATCCCAGCCCCAAACCTGGCGGCTGGCAGGGGAAGCGGCTTCCTCTAGGGCATATTTTAAAATGTCTAATTCTGCTTCCAGCGGGCAGGGGCCCTGAATCAAAGAGTAGAGGGATCAGGGACAAGACCCCCACCGCCATCCCCACCCCACCCCCACCCCACCAAGGCGCGGGAGAGGATGAGGCAGCTTGAGACATCCGAAGCCAAGGCTGTTCAAGGTTTATTTGGTTTTCTTCTCTGCCAAGGGAGGGGACCCGCAGGGCAGGCGCCGGCCCCGGCAGTTCCACTCGGTTGTCAAAAGACAAACCGGGTCTGTGTTCTCCTGGTTGGCTGGTGGGTCTCGCCAGTTCCTTGGTTGGTGGGTTCGTGGTGAAGGAATTGAACGGAGTTTTCTGGAAACTGTTGATGTCTGCAAGTGAGTGTCAATCCCCTCCCCCATTCTCGATCTTTTCAAGCGAAGTCGACCTAAATATGATTTGGGAAAAATTTGGTAGTGGACTGGGGCTAAATCATTAAGGAACCACACCGTCGTAATTTCTGTTCCTGTTGGACCCTTCACACCGGCTTAACTCGACCACCTTCCCAAGAGGGGGTGGCCAGGGCTAGGCTATGCGCCTCTGCTGCAGCGTTTGAATATTGGCCCCTGTCTCACGGGTTACTGATTAGCTTGGGCTTTCAAGCCGTAGGAGGAAGCTCTGGCAGTTCCTTTAAAGGTGCTGTGGTCCCATTCCTGGGTGGGGGTGGGGTTCCAGGAAATTGCCTGCGGTGCCAGTCAGATCAAGGTGTTCTCAGAGTCTGGCCCAGGGCTAGAGGAGCTGATGAGGTTAAGGTGCCTGGTGGTGCTGGGGACAAACACTGTGGCTGCGGCCCCCACCCGCTTTTGGAACCTCTGGAGCAGCTCTTTTCAGCTTTTCTGCAGGGAGAGTGACTTTCTGGTGGCTATATGGCCCGGCTCAGCGAGGTGCTCTATAGGAGGCCCCCACGGAGCCAGCCCTAGAAGGTCCTTGGCCCCTCGGAGATTGTTTTACTTTTGGACAATCCAAAAGACATGTAGAGAAGTCAAGCTGGTACATGGTACTGAAACACTTCAGGGCCTTTAGGTTGCGCCCTGGGTGCGGGTAGGAAACCGGGAGAATGGCCTCAGCGCTACTGCTCACTCCCCCTAAAGATCAAAGAGGATGCCACTCATTTGCATAATGAAAATGAAGGCTTTGTACTTTGATTTGGACGGACCAATTTTAGGGCAAAGTGTCTCATCTAAAGAGCCTTCCTCAACCTATGGGAGTGATCACTCAGCACCCCTGGGAACATTTATTTATGTTCCCCAAACCCAGAGAAACAGAGTCCAGGGTGAGAATTGAGTTGAATTATTTTCATTCCACCCCACCCCAGCCAAAGTTGGGAGTAGTGGGGGAAGGTGCTCATCACCCCCAAAGAGCTGAGGGAGAGGGCCTTATAGCTTAGAGGAAATCAGAAGCCTGGACAATGTCTCAGCACCCCCCACACACACCACACACACACACACACACACACACACACAAAGAGGCAAATATCCCTCCTGAGGTTACCTATCAAGAATTTTTCTCCTGAACTGAACACAACTTAGGAAACATTTTCCTGGGAGCTGGAATGTGTTAGCTTCCCACAGGACTGCAGACTCACAGCATAGAAGATTACAATTATAAATCCTGCCTGTGGGGTATCTGTGCAATCCCTCTGTTATGTACTCAAGAATTGGTACACACTTCTATCCATCTCTCTGAACACACACTTCTTCGTTGAGGCAGGGAGAGACACCCCAGACTGGCGGATGGCTGAGCCCGCTGTGTATTTACATATTCCCCCATGGAGACAGACAGAGGGCGGTGGACCGAACCACAGACAGATTCGTAGGGATCTGGCTCCAGAAAGGAGTCAGTCTCTGGCCCGCCCTGCCCGCCTGCTCTTTTTCCCAAACAAACGGATCAGACGAATAAACGCTCATAAATACCTCTGGGCTTAGATAAGAGCGATGAGGCGCTATTTCCTTTCATGCCCGACTCCAGGCGCCCAGGCCCTGCCTGTAGTGGCTCCATCTCCAGACAAGCAACCTGCAGAGGTGAGGTAAATTTGGGGGCTGTGATTCTAAAGATAGGGCAATTATTTTCCTGCTTCTGACACAGGGAAATGCTCCCTTCCTCACCAGATCTTATTTTGTTCAGACTCCACTGAGAAAACCACACTATTTAGTGCTAGGATGGGGACATTGTTGGGCCGGGAGGAGGCACGGAAGGCTGAGGCCCAGGGCTCAGCCTCAGCAGCAGGGAGGGAGGTGCATGCAAGCCCTCTCTCCCACTTTTTTTCCCCCAGTTCAAATGGCCCCTAGTCCTCTCTAGAAGCGAGCCCAACCATAGCTAGGTTTGGAATATTTATCCTTCTTCATGATCAGAGGGTTTAAATTTGTTTTCTTAAATGCTTATCAAAAACTCCCATAGAGTCAGGTTAGGAAGTGATTGGAGGGACATCCAGGGATGGCCATTTTGCCATTAAGGTACAGCCTAGAAGTTGCCCTGAGTTCAGAGAGCCTTGGAGACCATGTTGCAACCAAATAAGTTCCCACCCTTGGTCATCTAAGCTCAGTCCTCTACCACCTTCCCTAGTGTCTTGTTCCATCTTCAGTGGGGAGAACTTGGCCAGAAAAAGGAGCTCAAAGGAAGGACAAGGCAGAGGAGGGTCAGCCTGGCCTGACATCTGACTTTGTTCCATGCCCTGGCCCCTTCTTGTCCCCAGGTGTGAAGGTTGTCACCCTTCACTATGTGGCCTGTGTATGCATATTAGAATGTTGGAAATGCTCTGTGGCCCTGTCTCCCAGCCTGGGCTCAATGCTCATTTTCCTTGGATGAAAGAGCCAGAGATATACATTCTCTCACACACCCAAATTTGTAAGGCAGCAAAGCTGATGATATGAACATGGGGTGTGGGAGGGAATTGTAGCGATGCTGAGACACAGACAGAAGGGAGAGGGAATGCTGGCTGATGGCTGGAAGCTGCCTGCTGAGTCCCCAAGAGAACGCAAATGCCCTTCTCTCCCTATCAAACTAAAGCAAAAACCAAGTCTTGGGAAAAAATTAATTTCAAAAAGAACTGGCAGCTCCTACAGAGACTTGGAAGAAGAGTGAGGGTGCCTTTCTTCCCAGTGGTCTCTGACTGCCTCAACTATCAGGAGGGTTTGAAGCCCACAACTGGAAGAAGAATGATTTCTTCCTTGTGCCCAGATTTATAGGGACATACTTCATTCCTGAAAATCCTATAGCCCAGGCTATTCTTAAGTCTTTTGGGATTGCAGAGGGTACCGGAGTGAGGGTTGCAGGCAGGATAGGGATCAGACAAATAAAGCCGCCTAGGCTGAGGGATACCCCTCACTCCTTCACTCCATATTGCCAAGTGAGGAGAGGGTTAGTCGCTTTCCCCAGTGCCCCTTCCCCTGCCAAGAGTGAGAAGCTGCATACTAGAACCAGGCAGAATGTTTTGCGTAGCCGCCCCCATCGCCACCTTCCAAGAAGCTCCTAGTCTAGCCACAGAGCCAGAAGGGGAAGCTTGGGCTCAGTCCCTCCTGCCAGCTCCTCCTCTTCTGGGTCTTCTAGGCAGTGGGATCTGGCCTGCCCCCTCAGAACAGAAGGGTTGTGGAGAAGCAGGAACAATAACCCGAGGCTTGGAGGAGAGAGATCAGATCTGATAAACAGGAAGAACCATGTTCAAAACCTGGGGAGGAGGGTGTTTCTTCTTTGCTTGTCTTAGCGGAGAACTCTTCTCACCTTCTACCGACACAAAACCCTAGAAACAAATCTTCTTTAGTTCTCTCTCAAGGAGATTCGGAGACATGTACCCACCCCTCCCTGGAGAGAAGGGGCCCAAGCAATGCAGGGGTTAACTTTTCTGAAAACACAATTAACTTTTTCCAATCCTGCGTGGGGGGGGGGGAGAGATATATTTATTTAATCACCCAGGAGTGGGGTGGTCTCAATCTAAACGCTCCCTCCTCCCTCAAAGGCACAGAGCCTGTTTCACAGATCCTACGTAGGTGGAACAGGACGCGCTGTGTTGTTGGGGAGAGAGAGAGAAAGGCGAAGGAGAAGGAGGAAAAAAAAGGTTGATAGGTTTGTGCGCGGGTCCCTCGTGCGGGCTGCGCTCCTCCTGGGTGCTATTTGACAATTCCTGCCTCTGCCATTGGTCAGTGTTGGATCAGATGGTTGTATTTCCTTCTGGCCCTCACTGGCACCTCGCCATCCCCCCTCAGCTAAAACCCAATCTCGGATATACTACTAATAGGCGCGGCGCTCGGACTATAAAACAACAAATCATAAACCCGGCGGAGCTGCAGCGGCCGCGCGCGTCTCCCCTCCCAATGAGTTCCTATTTCGTGAACTCCACCTTCCCCGTCACTCTGGCCAGCGGGCAGGAGTCCTTCCTGGGCCAGCTACCGCTCTACTCGTCGGGCTATGCGGACCCGCTGAGGCATTACCCCGCGCCCTATGGGCCAGGGCCGGGCCAGGACAAGGGCTTTGCCACTTCCTCCTATTACCCGCCGGCGGGCGGTGGCTACGGCCGAGCGGCGCCCTGCGACTACGGGCCGGCCCCGGCCTTCTACCGCGAGAAGGAGTCGGCCTGCGCACTCTCGGGCGCCGAAGAGCCGCCCCCGTTCCACCCCGAGCCGCGGAAGTCGGACTGCGCGCAGGACAAGAGCGTGTTCGGCGAGACAGAAGAGCAGAAGTGCTCCACTCCGGTCTATCCGTGGATGCAGCGGATGAATTCGTGCAACAGTGAGTGAGACTTCCCGTCGCCGTAGCCCTGGCTCCCCTGGACCCCCACCCCGGGACACAGAACTAGTGAGCGCCCCCTGCCCCAATCTCCCACAGGGTGCTGGGTGGGCATCTCAGTTAGAAGATAGGAGGAGATTGGGTGCCTGCCCAGGGTCTCTCGCTGTGTCTCCTATTAGGCAGGAGTTACAAAGTTTGCAAAGTCCCAGCCGCACTGGGAGTAATGAGGAGCGAGTGTGCTCTCCTGGGGCCCCTGGCCAGAGCCGGGGTTCCAGGACAGGAAAGGGAGCAGGGGCCCGCAGTCACGGGCTTGGCTTTACTTTGCGCCCCCAGCCCCCCTCTCCCAGCCCTGGTAGGGTTCCCCAACCAAAGGCGGCTCCATTAAAAACGGAGTGCGTCATGCAAGGGGGTAGGAGGTGACGCTGAAGAGGAAGAGTTGAGTCTGACTGGGACTGTGTTTCCCTGAGGGTGGGGGGCTGGGGCAAGATGAGGCACCAGGAAAGGAGTGGTAATCAGAGGAGGGAGGAGGAATAAGGGGAAGGAAGAGAGAGGGAGCAGGCGGAGCGAGAGAGGAAGAAACAGGCGCGGGGTCTCAGGTTGGATTATTTGTTGGCCTTAAGTCCCAACTGATGTCCATTAGCCGGACTCGAAAGTGAGGAGCCGTTAATGTGGACTATGGATCGATCTACGTCATTACGGATTAAGGGCCTGGATTTATCACTGGGTTGGCGGAATGGGGGTTGGGGAGAAAGATGGATGGAAAGCGAGGGAAAGACAAGATGCAACTAGGAAGAGACACACCTGACCAGCCCCTCCCCCCAGGCTCAGGTGGGAGTTCAAACTGCTCCTCCCCTCCCCCATCTAGACAGACGGCACAGGCCTAGGAGACCAGGAGGGAATCTGGAGGGGGCGCTGGAGGAGTGCGAAACGGGGGAAGGGAACCGGCAGAGTGGAGGGTATCCCTGTACTGGCTGTAGTCTGTGTTCGAGGGTCGACTAGGGGAGGGGGCCCTGGGCCCGGTGACCCCAGGCCTCAGCATCTCCACTCTGCGTAACAGGTTCCTCCTTTGGGCCCAGTGGCCGGCGAGGCCGCCAGACATACACGCGTTACCAGACGCTGGAGCTGGAGAAGGAGTTTCACTACAATCGCTACCTGACGCGGCGGCGGCGCATCGAGATCGCGCACGCCCTGTGCCTGACTGAGCGGCAGATCAAGATATGGTTCCAGAACCGACGCATGAAGTGGAAAAAGGAGAGCAAACTGCTCAGCGCGTCTCAGCTCAGTGCCGAGGAGGAGGAAGAAAAACCGGCCGAGTGAAGGTGCTGGAAAGGGAGGGAGGACGCGAGGGGAAAGGCCTGTGGGGAGCCGAGGGCGTCGGAGAGACCCGGGAAGGAAGGCTCTCGGGTGGGGGAGCCAGGAGACCTGCTCTCCAGCGCACGACAGGCAAGGCCCAGCTCTCTCCTGGACGCCCCCGCCCGCACAGCTCCCGGTGGGTGCTCTGAGGCCTCACTACTCGAGCCCACCCAGCACCCCGCGCGCCCTTCCTTCCCGAGGAACTCGCCTCAGCCTGATCAGGCTTCCTGGTGAGAACTGAGGATCGGACTCACTTGATGTTTCCTGGAAGCAGAGCAAAATGCTCTTGTCCCTGTCGCGTCTCATTTCGTCCATGTCCCCCATGCACGGTTCAATGGTAGATTCGCTGTCCCCTCAGCGGAGGCCTTGAAGACTCCCTGATCCCAGACCTGTCGTCTCTCCCACCCCCTCCCCAAAGCCACTGGAAGGAGCACATACTACCTAGAAGTAAGAAGAGGAGCCTCAGAAGAAAACAAAGTTCTATTTTATTAATTTTCTATGTGTTGTGTTTGTAGTCTTGTCTTAGCTCGGGACGTGAAATACTTCGATGATGATAATAATAATAATAACAATAATAAAGATGTGAAAACTCGACGCTGGGTCACCTCCGATCCTCCCCTGCCGTTTTTCACTCTCCCCTCAACCCCCAACCTCTCCATCTGTCTTGAGCCAGAATTCTTCAGCAAGAGCGAGAGCCCTGGCCCGCTGAAGCGAGCCCTGTTCGACTGGGAAGTTACAGCTGAGATAAAGGCTGGAGCGATCAGTCCTGCCCAGGCCCCAGCGCTGCGTTTCCCTGGTGCTGAGGCTCACAGCCGCCTCTCCCCGTGCAGACTTGGGGGATGGAGAGGGGCTGTTTCCCTCTCATTCTCTAGCCTCTCCTCCTGTGTCCACAGCACTAAGGGAGCCACTGAGGCCCCTAAAGCTCTCTTGCGGAGACAGAGCCA